TATGGCAATGAAGATGAGGATAACAGTCCGAATAATGTAAATAATCAATTTGGAACGTTTTTTTCTTCTTCTTGATTTATATACCAATAATCATGGAAAAATGTTGAAAACTATGATATTACTGACCAATTCTGTGATTTCATATTTAATTCTGTCTGCACATATTTTTAGAGTTCTTCAGTTTAGTTTCAAATGGTGCTTAGATTAAAAAGTTGGTTTATAAAATGCTAACTTACAGTTCAAGCCATGGTTTGAAATTGAATCTAAAAACTTTACTGACAGACACATGATGGCAGACTCAAAATGTGCTAGACCATAGAAGTTGCCTGATTAGAGAGATACAACTATAAGTCATAAAAAAAATGTTGATAGTTTTTTTAGTAAAGTTTTTTCTAAAATTTATTTTTTTTTTAAGTTATTTATTATAGATAAATTATCAATATTTATAAAAAACATATCCTGTCAAAATTCAAGCTCTTATTGAATATCAAGATTTATATACAGTTTGATGTTGTTTTAAAGAAAAAGGTTAAAATATTAAAAAAATTCCTATTTCTAATAAATAAGTAAAATTATTTCAACTAATTATAAATGTAAGATACTAGTAATCTCATATATATTTCATCACATCCTATTCTAAACACAGCCCGTCTTTCTAAACTTGACAACTTGGTCCGACAATTTTAGCTGCAAATTGCGACACATCTTTCCCCTTCCCAACCTATAACTCTCTTCATCTATGTTTACAATCTAATTCGTCCATGACACTCACTAGTAATAATACACCTGCCTAACACTTTTATACCGATCAAAATTTTAAAGTTAAGTTTATTTTCATAAAAAGTTTTGCACATCAAGGAATCAGACAGAGATCGGGTTTTGGCTAACAATATGATTTCCACTGGAAAATATCACATCTACAAAAATATCTGTTGGTGAGTAATTCCCATTTTTCTGTTTATTCCTTGGTCTGTTGATGAAAGACACAGGTGTGTCCGAAAATTCCAAACTTTTCTCTTCATGCTTCATTTCTATCATACGGTTAATAATTAATATTTAATAAATATTCATTGTATTGATTATATTGGTACCGTTTCGTTTGTTCTTGTTTTATTATCTAGCCTATCTATATGGCCTGAAGATTGTGTTAGGGCATGAAACAGACCATTGCCACTCAGTGTCCACTTATCACTATTTTCATGCAGGCATAACAATGTTTTTGATTAAGAACATAGGCGTGGAATGATCTGAAAGCCTTTATCCATCTGCTTCTCTTCCTTGATACATATACCCAGGCCTTCTGAGTATGTTGCCATATATAGTGATATTATGCTCACAATGGAAACAATCTCTTTCCCATCGATTTCTGCCTGCTCCCCCTGCTACTTGCCTTGTTCATCAGTATATAGTATAGACCATGAATTGGCCTCCTCATTCAAAATCATGATTCCTGTTCTTTTCAACCAACTTACAATTCCGTAACCGCCCACAAAAAATAACACACAAACCCATGGAACTCTAAGCTACAGGAAAACAGTGAAAAAAAAAAAAAAATAAAAATATATATGGTGGACTCTCATTGTAGACAACAAATGGGAGCTCAGTAAAATAAAGAGGGGCTCAACTTGTATGGACATGCATGTGTCTCCTGAGGCCTGTAGGTGTTTTGCACATATATATATATATATATATATATATATATATATATATATATATATATATATATATATGCGGTTGGTAATTTGCTGCCATTTGATATTTTTAATTTTGTGTATGCACATTGTTTTTGATTTTGTCAACTTCACAGTATAATAGGATCAGTTGGGCACCATCTATGAGAAAAAAGAGCACCATGGCATAATTCACTCTGCCAGAAATTTGGAAACATCATGCTGTATTGCTTGGCATTCATGCTGGAAGCTCCAATACAAACATTTCAGAGTGTTTGGGTTTCAATCTGAGGAGTACAGAGAATTTAGAAAGAGTTGGATGATAAATCCAGTGAAGATTATGGTGTTTAGAGTGACCACTAGTGATGGTGATATTATGCCTCCATTCATCTTCCCACAGGGCTTCAGACTCAACACGGAGGCCTACATCAAGTGCTCTGAAGAGGTAGTGCTGCCCTAGGTTAAGAGGGTGGGTGCTGGAAGATCCAATGTCTGGCAATAGGATTCTGCACCATGCCACACAAGCAAGAGAACCCAGTCATGGCTGTCAAACAATTTCTGCAACTACATCACTCCTTACATCTGGCCACCTAACTCCCCAGTCTGCAACCCCCTTGATTATTGTGTGCGTGGCACAGTTGAGCAAAAGACCAACAAAACACCTTGTAAGAATAAAAATGAACTGAAGGCAAGAATTACGGCAGCATTCCCCAACTTAAACAAGGAGACTGCCTAGAAGAGTTGCAGGAGACTGCCCAGAAGAGTTGCAGGAGATTCCAAAGTCATCTGGAGGCTGTGGTTGAAGCCAATTACAATTTTATCGAATAGATTTACTTTTTAGTATTTAAAGATATTTTTGTGTAATTTTGGTAAATATATCTGTTAAAATGAGATGTCAGTGTTATTTTCATTTTTGCTTAATTTAGACGACAATTTACCCATTCTACCCTGTATGTATACACACGCGTTCAACCTTTAATTTGTTAAAACTTAAGAAAATAATAATGTAGTAGCCTAAAGAAATAACCAGACAAAAAAACTTTTTAACTCGTATATATTTCTTTGGGTTTTGTTTTTTTTCATTTTAATTACAATTCTATTTTCAAATAGGAATATGATTGTAAGAATATATGATTTTTATAAATTCTAATCTTTGCAAATAATAGTTTCTAGGAACAAAAACATTTTAGGTTAATTTTATCTACTTACTGCAATTGATTTCATCAGACTTATCAGAGCAATCATTATAATCATCACATGTCAGTCTAGCATCAATACATTGTCCACTGGCACATTCAAACTGGTTAGGTTGGCAACCTGGTTTAACTATAGATTACGAGAGATATTCAAGTCATGTGCAGCAATTGAATAGTTGAAAATAGTCAAGAAAAAAGAAGGTTAGTTGTATTAAATATTTAACCCTTTCAATACATTTTTGATTTCAAAATGAATGAATAAAGGTTTTTAAATATTTTAATGTGAAAACATGGTTATATTGTTTGAAAGAGTTAAATATATTAATGCAGAACACACACAAGCATAAAGAGAAAAGAAAATTAATAAGAAAAGTTAAAAAAGAATTAACTTCATTTTTAAAGATAAAATTATGGGTATCCTGTTTTAAATTATATGAAAATTTGTTTGATATGTGTAGTTTAAGAAATTTAGAAAGCCTAAGTCTTCTATGAATTTTTTCAGACAAGGTGTTTTAATCAATATAATCATTGTTTTAATAAGGTTGGCTTGGATTAACATTTTTGTTTTTATTGTTTTTTTTTTTAATAACATTTTGGCTGTATACTCAGAGCTTTCCTTAGGTGTCTGCTTTGTTCAGGAATGTCACTGAATCTTTAGAATGTTGAAAAAAAAATCTATACAGATACTGTGCTCAGATAACATGATCAGTAGTCCAAGCAGAAATATTAATAACTTTTAGGAGCCATTCATCAGAAAAAAACAACTTAGAATTCCAATGGAATATGAATACATTGGCAAAATTAAACAGGTACACTGCAAGTTGTAGGCCCAGTGTAGAGGTTAGAAGGCAGGCCCGAGAACACATAGATGAAGGCATCAGATATGATGTGTAAGGTAAGAGAAGTGCATGCTCTCTCAGGACAGGATATGACAACATTCCCGAACGCAATAGACACTATAAAAAAAAGCTGGAGGATACATGGCTGAAATGTGAAAAAAGACCCCCAAAAAACAACAAAGATGAAGTTAAGAAAAAATTACACAAAATGACTAGAAAGATTTATTATATAAAGTTTTTAATTTTTTTTATATAATTCATTTAATATAGTTTTAACTTTAATTCCTTCCATTATCAAATTTACTAAAAAAGATTAACTGAACTGCAATTGTTCAATAATTGGTCAGTCTTATTATTCAAATATAAGATTTTAATAAAATTATATTCAGTTTGTTATGATGAAGTGAATTCTTTCTCATTTCAGATCAAAGCACAAGAGCAATTAATATATATATAAAGAACTTTTATTAAAAGAAAAAAAGAAAATTGTAGTCAAAGCTTAGATTATATAGCCATGAAGCTGAAGAGTAAAGAATACTGAAGAAGAAAGTTCAGAAATTAGTAGTCAAAGATAAAGAATAAGAATTACAACATTTACAAAAATAAAACAGAAGAGTTTGTTGCAGATAATAAATATATATATATATATATATATATATATATAGTAATGCTATAATTTTGATACTGAAGCATCATAAACTAATTTTGGGTAATATTTTAGGATTAAACTACTTACAACAACCATATTCATCTGACCCATCAGCACAATCAAATACTCTATCGCATTTCTTGCTACCTTCAATACATTGATCATCTCCACATTGGAATTGGTTAGGTAGACAACGTTGTGAGGCTAAGTGAAGTGTGAAAGAAAGTTAATGTGAGGTGCAGTGACAGGATAGAGAGTGCAGGGATGAAAAAAAAAAAACAAGTAAAAATAGTGCAATATTAATACAAATGTGATCAACAATTGTAGAGCTAAGTTATATTATTAGATTTATAACTGAAAACAAAGATTTATTCAATATATGATACACATTAATATAAGTGACAGTGAGTTTTACAAAGCAACAATTATGTACATAAATTTGAACTGATTGATTGATGTAATGACTTTTCCAAAAGTGCTAATTAAAATGTAATTATATTTTAAAGAATAAATGATAGCTTATATTACTGTACTATTTTAACCAATATCATTAATAAATAATGTAATCGCTTTAATTTAGTATAGCAAGACTAATGTGACAAATTTAGTAAACTCATACTAATATAAATTTTTAACTCTTCATATGCTACTTACTACAATTGCTTTCATCTGACCCATCTGAGCAATCATAATTTCGGTCACATTTCTTCCTATTGTCTATACATTGTCCATTCCTACACTGAAATTGGTTATGTTGGCAACGCTGTGCAGTGGCTAGGGGAGAGGTGAAAGAGAGAAGTGAAGTGCAATGCATAGAAAGACAAGTGCAATAATAAGACAGTTAAGTATGCAATAAATTATTATATCAACAGAAGTAGTTATTTCATAAGATTTAATATTATAAAGAGCCTAAAAATTGTTTAGTATTAATTAGTCACTAGAAAGAGATGTTTAAATATCAAAGTAGATTAAGTTTGTAAAATGAAAGGTTGTCGAAGTAGATTTCTGAAATTAAATATTTCTATTTCAATATGAATTGAAAAAAGATGTAGGTTTATGTTAGTAATAATTTTATGGTTTTAATATTATTTTTAAGAAATAAAATATTTCAAATTATTTTAATGCCTGAGTCCCAGTAGAACCAAAGGAATTGTATTTATATTTAAGTCTGGTTGGCTACTTACTACAATCTTCTTCGTCTGACCCATCAGAGCAATCATAATGTCGGTTACATTTCTTGCTAGCATCTATACATTGTCCATTTTTACATCTGAATTGGTTAGGTTGGCACTGTTGTGGAGCTAGGTGACATGAACAAGAAATATACAAGTATGAAATGAAAATATATAAAAATAAGAACTATTTAAAATTAAATCTTTTCATTGAGAAATTATGATGAGAAATTTATTATGCCAAGTACTTCAAAATAAAGATCAAATAATCTAATAAATTACATTAAATTTTCTGAAAATTTGTTTATTTCCTCTATAGTGATAAAATATTAACCTATTAGGTTTCTATTATTAATTTCTTTCTTTAGTAATTCTAATTGTTTTCGGGTATAAACTGGTTTAATTGTGCATTGAAACTGGTATGCTGATAAAATTGATAACTGGTAGAATAAGACATTACTTATTAGGGTGTAGAATGTGCATCATTTTTTTTAATACCATGTCTTGGCTCTCCACAGATTCCTTTTCTTTATTATTTATGAATTGTCATGATTTCTTGGAAAAGATAGTAGAGTGGTTTTTCATTGGCTTTTCTACACTTTTCAATTCATAGTCTTTCTCTCTTCAGGCAATCATGGCTCTCCACAGATTCCTTTTCTTTATTATCTGTGAATAGCCATGACTTCTTGAGAAAGATAGTGATGTGATTTCTTGTCGTCTTTTCCATGATTTGGAATTCAGAATTTTCCTTTTTCTAGCTGCCAGTCAAGACTAGAGAGCTCATTCTACCTTATTATTTCCATAGATGGGTAAGAGAAGAGATGGATTCACACCTTTTTCAAGGGCATTAGTGTGAAAGTGAATGCAACAGACAAGGCTAGAATTTGAACTCAGCTTGCATGCTGATAATCATTACACTATCCACACATCTCTTATGTGCAGACTAATCTATATTTAGGCAAAGTAAATGATACTATTTTAAAAAATTGACAAGTAAATAAAATCTGTCAAACATCTCGATCAATAAAATCCATTTTCTTTTAAATCCCATTTTAGTATTTAAGTCAAAATAATTAACTAATATGATTAAAATATTTCTTTGACTTTGGAAACTGCCATATTTGATGGTATATAGCTTGGGGACTACCAACAGTGGCAACAACTAAAATGGATAGCACATGTAACTCAAAGAGACAATGATGACATAATCAAGATGCTGACATTCCACCCTGCTTCAAATAAAAGGTTAGGAAGGAAACCCTCATCAATACTAGAAAGAGTGATAACAGTTACTGAACTTGGGAAACTTATATTTCTGAAAAATTGTTTTAAGAGAAAGATTTTCTAAATTTCAACTGAAAGCAGTGCTGGGTGTTCGGTCAATGAATGCCAAATGTTTCTGTGTAGGAAAATAGTTAATATTACGATTACCATAAAATTGACTGATTCATTCATTTTCTATGGTTTGTCAACCCATTGCAAGTTACTTAAAGTCAGAAAATATTTAGATTGTAAGAATTTTTTTTTTTTTGAAGATAATAATGATTTAATGATACAAGTCTTACTAATTAATCTATAACTGGGGAGATAAGAGGTGGATTCATATCTTTCCTACTGGCATTTGCATGTAAGTGAGCCCAACTAGAATTGGAACTATTCTCCAAGTAACAATTTTATTCTGAGCCATTATCCATTAAACAACTTGTACATCCAAGCTTACAGCACCTAGATTTCCTAAGCGGTCACCCATCTAAGTCCTGACCAGGATCAACATTGCTTAACTTCAGTGATCGCACAGGAACTGGTTTTTCAATGTAATATAGCTGTAAGCTTATTTGTTGTGTGGTAGTATATATGTTTCTAACTGGGTGTATATAATTATATATATTTATTTTTTGTATTTAATCCATTTTTTTACCAATATCATTTTTTTCATAAGTAAATGAACTGCTCTATTATCTTAACAGAAAGTTATAAACATTAATATCAAAATTTTACAATGGTCAGTTTTCAATTTGTGCCTGACAATTGCTACATACTGAGAGTTGTACAAAAATGGTGACATCAAATATATATTTAGTATTAGTATAAATTTTAGCTCTTATTTTACTTTGAACACTGTTTTATTACCACCAGCACTCACTGTGTGCAATTATGATTATATATACCAGGGTTAAACAAAATAAAGTGAACACTAGCTTAAACATTTATTTATTAACTAATAAGGTGTTGAACCTCCTTTAGCATCTAATTATTCTAATTATTTTACCTGAAGATAAACAATGACTTAATTAGGTAGAAAAGCAAGGTAGAGGATTAAAAGGTTAAGAGGTTACCTTTTATGCTGGTTAGATGTTTGCGAATATTTGGAGATAGTGGAATTGAAAAAATTGCGATTTTTGCAAGCTGTTCACATTATTTTGTCTAACCTCTGTATATTAAAATTATTTAATGAGATTGATTTATCATAATTACATTAATAAGAAGAGTTTTTGAGAATGTTAAATGTTGTCAACTGATGATCAATCTTTGTTAATAATCAGTTTATTGATAATGAATAACAATTATTCATTATTATAACTTTTGATATCATAGGTGGGCAAACAATATTTGCATTAATGACTGCTTTGCTTTGAACATTTTATAATGTATAAAACAAAATTAAAATAAGTGATATGAAAGTAATTTGTTTTTGCTATTACTTACTACAATCAGTTTCATCTGACCCATCAGAACAATCATAACGTCGGTCACATTTCTTGATAGCATCTATACAGTGGCCATTTTTACATCTGAATTGGTTAGATTGGCAACTTTGAGTAGCTGAGAAAGTGGAGAGTGAAATACTAAAATAACTGTGTGCAGGTAAGTGTGCCAGGTTAATAAGGCAAAGTTGAAGAAAAGTGATTAAAAGAGTGATGCATGATTATAAAGATGTTGTCAACAATTTTTTTAAAAGTGTATTATAAAACTGATTATTAAATATTATAGATGATTATAAAACTGATTATTTTTTTATTTACAGATGATAACACAGAATTTCTGGTAAAAGATAATTTATATGGTACACTAAAAAAATTAGATTTTGAAAAATGAAGAAATCTTGGAGGTATTTCCATTTCTGAAATAAATTGGAATTGAATTATTATTATTATACATACATACATACATATATATATATATATATATTATACAGCAAAAAATCCAAGATAACCTCATGTGGGTATAGACTATTTCAACTGGCACAACTTTGGAGCAATCTTTAGAATTTAGTTTAGATAGCAGTTACAGAAAAGATACCAAGCCTACCCAAAATGATGCCTCAACCAGATAAAAAGTCTGTGTTGATGGTAAGGGGAGGGCAGGAGGTATCTATCTAAAAAAAGGGAGAAGAGGCCCACTGGAATTGACCCCAATATTAACCTTATGATCCTAAATTGGGGTTATATAAAGAGTGAGGTGTTGAATTGAAATTCTAAATCCTTGATTCCGAGTCAAGGGTTGAAGAAGACTGGTGTAAGGTTGTGCTGGCTGAAATAGGCTATACCCACATGAGGTATTTTGGGATTTTTTGCTGTGTAATATATATGCTCTGTTATAATAAATACATAGAGCTGTCATTGAGGATCAGTTTTAGTATTACTAGGATCCACCTGTATTATATACCAATGGATCTATTACCTGTACTATATATATATATATATATATATATATATAGTTAAATAAACTGAAGTTATATGCAAATAGACAGATAAATATTTAAATTCACATTTTAATTCTTTTCACTACTTACTACAGTTGACTTCATCTGAGCCATCAGAGCAATCATAATGTCCATTACATTTCTTGTTAGCATCTATACATTGTCCATTTCTACATTGGAACTGGTAAGATTGACATTGTTGTGCAGCTAAAGGAGAGGTGAAAGAGGTACACAGTGTGAGGTGCAGTAATGTGCATATTGTGTAGTGAATGGACAGACAAGTGCAAAGGAAAAATTAATATACATATGCAACAATATATGACCGACGATAAAGGTTTTCATAAACTGGGAAAAGTTAGATAAAATCTTAATTAAACATCAATTTTATAATTTATGAGAAAGCTTATTCTGTATAAGATGATGATGCTAAAATTTAACTCAGGAGATTCAAACATTTTTCAAAAGTACTGATTAGAGTGTAAATAAAATTATTGAGAGTCACAGGGTTTCCTGATTGGGATAAATTTGAAAGTTCAACACATTTTAAATTTTGCTACTTTTAACTTTTTTAGCTACATTTTTTTTTTTTTAAATAAGCTGAATTTGAGCTACTACTGGAAAAGATATTCAGTTCAAAATTTAGTAGTGCTAGGTTTTCAAAGACTGCTCAATTCAATTTTAGCCCAATATAGCAATCCTGGCTAGATGTAACATTTAATAAATTTGATTTTTAAACTATTTAAAAAATTGTGAGATTTTAATATGTCCTGAAAATACATACACATTTTTAAATAGCAGTTATTACCTGAAATTAAAATTTTTCACAATAAAGAACAAATGTTATAATAAATATCAACTAATATATCTTAATTGTGCAATAATTTTCAACTGAAAAATAATAAAGAAAAATTGATGCCCAAAAATATGTAAACAGTTTATCAGATTATAACCTTGTAATGTTAAAGTTTTTATGAAAGTATTCAACTTTCTCATTATAACATTACAATTATTAGATTTGTTTGGAAAAATCCTGTATTTTAATAATAATAAAAAAAAAGTCATTAGTATAAGAAGATAAAACTAAGATGTAAAAATACTAGATGCATTATATATATAACAATTTGTATTTATAATTAAAAAATTTGACGAAAAATTATGAAAGTTGCAATATTTCTGATCTTGGTTGTAAAACTTGAAATAGGCATGCTGTAAGCATATCTACCTTCAATAAAGATAAACATAATTATTAATTAATAAATCCTAATATGGAAATGATAATTACAACAATTGTCTTTTGCAGATCTGGTTATAGAGGAAAAACAGAAGATAAATGAAAAAGGAAGAATTAACTTTCTGATGAATTAAAAAGAAATCTGAAATAAATTTTTAAAAAAATGCTGAAACAGAAAAAGGTGTCAACCTTTGTAAATTGGTAATCATCAAGTAAGACTATTTTAGTTAAAAATTTAATGCTTTTCAAGATAAAAATTGAATGTTTCAAGATGAATTCTTTTCATTCTGTAAGCAGTATAGTTTCTCAAATATTAGTTATTAAGTAAAAGTATGCACAAAAGTAATGTGAATAAATTGTGATATCTAAAGAATTAGACTAGGGATACAAAAGTGAAAATATAATTGATAGGAAATATTTTTAAAATATTTTTTGGAAATGATTTAATCAAGTAAGTAACAAAGGAAAATATATATAAATGTATAAACAGAAAATATATTAAAATAATTGTTGGATTTAGTCCATTATATATATATATATATATATGATAGGATAGGATAGGATAAATAACAAATATGAAACATTTATAAATCTAACATGTTCCACATTTTGTTAAAGCTTCGTCAGAGAATGAGATACAGAAAAAATTCTGCTATCTTTATTTTTGTGTTGTTTGATTTTCATTGGTTAAGCAAACTTCACATACATTTGACTTATCAAGCATTGTCCATGTGTATTTGTTCTTTCAGATACCGATCCATGTTTGATCTGTATTTGATCCCAATTCACACATTTTATATATATATATATATATATATATGATGTGTTCGGCAGAGGAAGGGCATATTCAACATTTGATAATTTTGCAGCAATACACGTTTAAAGGTTTTAGGTAGTTTTGATCAACATTTCTTTTCATGGTTAACCGTAAGGTATTGTAAGTATAGGACTACCTTACACTTAAATAAAACAATAACAATAATGATATTTATTAAGAATTCATTACAGGAAATATCAAGTTTTATGAAAACATTATTGACAATTATGTATTTAGTTACATAAGAAATCAATAAAAAATTATATAAATTTTGATGCTATATTAGATTTGTTGTTAGGTATTTTTTATTTTCTCTTTTGTTATTGGCAGCATTTTAGAATACTTTGGCTGCAATGCTAAGTTTCCTAAGTTGAACAAACTGGAGCTATTTTGTTTATGCTTTGTTACTCTCTTTTCTATTGTTGTTTTTAGATCACTTTCTTTCAGTCATTTTGATGGGCAATAGCAAAATTCTGAAAGTTAGAATGAACTTATTTCATTTAAAAAATGAAGCCTGTGAAATGGAATATTTTAAATTATTATACGGCCAAAAATAAAATGCCTTTGACAAAAATTTTTAATGATTTCACTATAATTATGTAACAATTATGTAATGATATTCTGCAAACAAATCTACAGTTTATGTTACCTCATATCATTGCACAGTTACGAACTATAAACCTAAATTGAGCTTGAAATATTGTGTAATCAACTAATTTTTTGTAAAATACTAAGATATGATATAATGAATAACTTGCAATTTTTTGATATAATGAATAACTTGCAATGAAAAAAGCAATTTTTGATTTTTTTGTTGAATATGACCCTCTGCTTTATTCATGTTATATATAACAGTAGAAATTTACTAATTTCAGTGACTTTGTTTTATTTATGAAAATAAGATTATTGTGGCTAATTGTTTCTAATAGTGGGCAGTTACATTAATTTTAAGATAAAGCATATTCTTATTGTTTAGTTTCAAGAGATAAAACTATAAATTCATCTTTAATTAATTTTTCAAAAGTGTGAGAAATCCTTTTCTTAGTACAGAATTTGCTAAAATGGAAACATTAGCCATAATCCTACAGTTGGTTTAAAATGCTTTTTAGAGTTGTGTAGTATATCTCAAAAAGTTACATAATCGATAAGAAGTTACAAAATAAGGAATGTGTGTGTGTATATATATATATATATATATATATATATATATATATATATATATGCTAGTTGCCTGACTCAAGAATCAAAACCTAATATAATATCTTCAACAAAGGGTCATGACCAAAGAGGGCCATGGCTAGCATGATCAAAGGTCATTCACTTCATGTTTGATAATATAGTATAATTAAAAGAAAAAAAAAATGACACATTGTAGAAACATGGAACTAAGTACACATTGCAGAATCACATAACTAATTACTCGTCAGAAATTGCTGATGCGGATTTGACCAGTGAATGTATATATAGCAATCATTAAGCATTTGACCCAGCAAAGAATTATTCCTCGTCTTTTTTGTGCAGTAGAATTGGTTAGACAATTTCAATTGAGGAAACCTGATCACTTGTTTCAACCTGGACAGATTGAAATAATGAAATTGTATTCCATGTTTAACCTCACTTTTGTTCCTTGTTTTATATTCAAATAATCAACCATGGAACAATGAACTGTGCTTTTCTAATACCACCATTATGATGGATAATTACTGACTGTTGTACAACCTGCTTATATTACATTTGGTAAGTGATCATTTAAATTTGTATTATTATATCTTGATTCTGGAAAATGATAGTGTGTTGATAAAAAAGAATGACAATTTTCTGAGAGGAAATTAAAGAAGAACACAAAGCAAAAAATGGTTAACGGTAGACACAAATCATATAAGTCACTAGTTTTGGTATTTTTATTGAATTGTTATAGATATCCTTTAATCCCTATAGCCATAAAGTAATGCGAAATTTAACTTTTTAGAAAAATTTTGTTTCACTGTTTAAATTTAGGCACCGATATTCAGAGAACTTAAAAACGATTACTTGGTTACTTATTTTAGTGCATCATTTTACTTACAATTATTTCCATGCAAACAATTTAAGTGCATTATTTAAACAAATTAGCCATAAATAATCAACAGTACCTTTTTATAGCCATCTGTCACATCTTGCCATCTAAGACTGTTTTTTAAATTTATATATGTAGCAAAGTGATCATTCTAATTGTTTAATCTTTACATGGTCTTTTTTTTTGACATTGTTAATCGAAATAAGTTGCTTTAAATAATCAACAGTGCCTTTTTATAGCCATCTGTCACATTATTGCCAACTAAGACTATATTTATATTTTTGATGATAATATTGAATAATTCACTATCTATTGAAAATAAATTTAATAAAATATTTCATTTTGTTCATTTCATTGTAAACAAAAATGGCAGCAAATTTTTCTCAAGTGAATTATTCAATATTATCATCAGATGAATAAAAAGAAGACATGCATGAGGACCACAAAAACCATGGCATTTTAAGGAAAAGATTGTGAAGGAAATGTTGCAAGGTATTGTTTGTTGGATAGAAAGGAGGCAAGCCAAGGAAAGCAATGTCTACTCTAACAGTTGATTAAATTTGCATAATAAATAATATGCATTTGTTTATAATAGATTTAAATTAAATCTTATTTAAATTCATAATTTCAACTCACTTTTATAAGGTATGATAAACTCATTTAAGTAACACACTAATCAATTTACTGTTTTAGATAAATTATGAAATAAGTACCTAAGTAATCATTTTAAGTAATACAGTTAATTGAAATGTGTTGTGTAATTTATTAAACTTATTAAACCTAAAAAACATTTTTTTTACCTTCGTATTTAATAACATATAATCAAGGAACATGCCTACATTTGTATTATTTTTGACTATCTTAAAACAGTAGATCATTGAAACATCCAACTAAGTATTTTACTGCATTTGTCTTAATATTTTTCAATTTCCAGAATATATATAAATTCAATAAATTTCCAATTGAGTTCCACTTCTTTAGTTGAAGAATATGCTTATCATTTAGAAATCTATGAAATTGTTCTGTTGGTGAAGAGTTTATTTTATGAAGTAGGCTGTTTACTCAGATTTGAATTCTGATTATGACTGCAATCATTATTGAATTATAAATACAGAAACATGCCTTCAGTTTTATACTTTTTTTAAACTTAAGTACAACACAGTTCTGCTCAACTGAAAGACTTTTTTTAATATTGAGCAACTTTTATTCAACTGTTTATCCATAGGATCCACTATATGAGTATGTGTGTTTTAGTTTCATATTGATATCTTTCATAAGTTTCATTTTGTATTACTTTTTAAAATTGTAAATAGTACAAGTGAGGCAAATATTTTACACTAAAAATTTCATGCTGTCTACTATAATAAAAGTGAAACAGAATGGTCAGGTTTTGGAGCTAGCAACTCTACTTTATAAAAACCACCTTGCTAGATCAGCATCATCTATAGCATGATATTGTTGGCAACCCTATAAATTCATAAACTATGAATTTATAAAATCAAGTTTATTTATTTATTTAGAGCAACTAGTGTATATAAAGTATTTCCAATTTTGTATTGCCCAAACAGAATGCATCTCTGCTTTGTAGATGATATGGGGGAGGAGAATTTTAATATAGTTATTTGTAAATAGAACACAGGCCCTAAATACAAAATAAAAGAATTCCTTTTGTTTAGAATGAGTAAGCTGAGAATATCATTATTCTGATCACGTCATTCAGCTGAAAAGAAACTGTTGAAGGCTGCTGGAAAATTGTTGAAATGTTGCATACCAAAAATCAAACCAAAAAATACAGGAATAAATGAAATAAGCCAAAAAGATTTTTAAAAAAAAGAAAAAGAAACATGCTGACTCTTCAAGAAATGTAATTATTTTGTGTGAATTTTTTAATGTAACACCAACAGTCAATGCAGAACAATTCATTAAAAACTAAGTACTTACGGCAATCAGTCTCGTCTGAACGATCTTCACAGTCTGGGTACTGATCACATTTTCTTCTTATGTCAATACATTGTCCATTTCGACATTGGAACTCATGAGGCTGACAAGGCACAATTGCTGTGGATGGTTAAATAGAAAATAGTTTTTAAGATTGTGAAGAATATATTTAGATGAATGAGTGAATCTCTGAATGGGAAAAAGAAAAAGAGTCAGTTTGGTGTGATGATATTAGATAAATTAAACAGTATAAATAATATACCGAGATATTTATGTTTAATTTACATTGGAAAAATCCTTACTGTAAGGTATGTCAGCACGAGATATGGAGAACAGTTATTGGGAAACAACTTGAATCTTGCGTCTCATAATAGATCATAAATCAAATTATAATCATATGGTTTCTCTGTGTGTTTGTGTGTATGTTAACATAAGTGCAAACATTTGTATTAACCCCCCCCACAAAAAAAAACAATATTCCAACAATATAAATATACCAACCCATGGTCCCAGTTCCTTACCAAAACTCTGAAATTCTCCTCACAAGTTAATAATCACCACTTTACATTTATGTCTGGTTTGGTTTGTTTTACAGCATATCAACCTCAATGGGTTATTTAATGCTGACAAGATTTTTATTGGGAACACCAGCAATTAAGAGGTGGTTCTACGCTCCTCAAAACTTCTTGATCATAGACCATGCTGTTGGTATTTTATTGTCTAACCGAGGATGTCTATGTCTGCTGTTGCCTGAAATTCACTGAGCATACTTAGATGACATGTCATGGCAACTCATCGCAAAACCAGTTACAATATCCAGTAAATGTTTTAGAATTATGAGGTGGCCTGGTGTTGGAAAATAGGTGAACTTTGAAATTCTATTTTTTTTCCCACTGGCATAAAATTATGAAAAACACAAACTGCTTTATTTTATTTTTAAAGGCAAATAATTCAGAAATTATTTAAATAATGGTACAATACTGTAAAATTCTTTGTAGAAAGATCAATGGTTTTTACAGTTTAAACCAGCAAGTCTGTAGGTCTCAATTTTCTCTAGAATCCCTAAAATTCTCTTACTATGGGTTGCAGAAATATGCCTTCAGTTTAAAATCACTGCACTATATAATTGCTTAATTTACATCTTGAAAATATTCTGCTGAATCAAATGTCAAAAGAGATGTTTTGAAAATTATGTAAACAATTATTAATTGTTTTTTTGGATAAAATTCTTTCATCATATTTCTGTTGCTTTTTATTGAAATTCCCAAACGATTATACTGCAATCATTAAGCAAACAGCAAAGATTGAAAATAAAGAATCAGCCTCCAGTTTTATTCCTGGTCTATTTGCTTAATATCAATAAAATGATGATCAAAACAGAAAAAATAAGATAAAAGATACTTCATCTAAAAAATTCAAATAATTTTACATTTAATACTACTAGTGTAGCAAACATTTAAAAAAAATAAATAAAAAAAAATATTAACTGGTCCTAACCTGGCATCTCAGCTTCAGTCATTTTTTTCCACTGCCTTAATACAGCTTTCCTATGCCATTTCTATGAATAATTTCATGGAAATTGTTCTGATAAACTTTCCTCTATGGTACATAGACTTTATGAATTTAAGCTCAGTACTACAGGGTGGTCTGAAAGTCTTGTCATCCACTACTAAAAAGTAATGAGAACAATAGAAGAACAAGTAATACAGTAATACATGTACTGGATTCAGTTTATTCACTTTCATTGATGCTGTTACACATCGAGAAGGTCTGTATGAACACCCTTTTTGTGGCACAAAACAATGTGGCACCATGTCCTGTGTGATATTTTATGAAGCTGTGCTTCGTTGACTGTTGCAAAGGCTCTCTGAACGGAATCCTTCAACTGAAGAGTATTCATGTGGAACTCTCTCCTTGATAATACTCCGTGGAATGTTGAAATAGAAAATTATATTATGTAAGGGTGACAAGACTTTCGGACCACCACGTAGATTGGCAACCAGGTTTCATCCTTTTACAGTTGAAATGGCTAAATGTAACCATAAGTTCTATGCTAGCAGCCTCTTTTCTCACACTTCTTGCTTGTGGGAATCTTTTCCAGCTTCTTACTTTTCAGTTAACTTTGATCTTCAAAAATTTAAATGCAATATCAATTGTTATCTGCTATTTTCTTGATTCCTGCTCTTTTGTTGTTCTCGCACTTTAATGTTTTTCTTTTTCTTATACTCTTTCATACTCAGTAACCCCTTGTGTCTTAGTGGCTTTATTGCCTTGCTTGAAGTGAAAACAATTAAAAAAATAAAATAAAAACTGTGCAGTCTGCATGCTGAAGATATGAAACAAAGTCAATATTGCAAGCATTAATGGTTCAAAATGAATAAACCATGCAAATTTAAAGCTCAACTCACATGAACACATTGATAGCTACGGAAACAGTGAAAATAGCTATCCAATAGTGAAAATTTCATTAGTATTTACATATTCTAAGCATGCATTAAATAAAAAAATCATAGTAATATCTACATTATAAAAAGTATGCCTTAATAGAGTTTACACATAAATGTAGCAACCTAGTTAGTATTATTAGCAACCTAGTTAGTATTATATTTAAAACTAAGTAGCTAAAAATAAAAATAAAGAAATGATAGAATTGAACAATAAGTTAATCTGATTGAAGTTCAAGGCACCATTCATTTTATATAAACTGAACAAAGCCATTGAGCCTGGCTATAAATTCAACTTTCACCACTGCATGCTTCATTAATAACTCTTTATGCATCTAGAGATATACAATAAATCAAGCAAATTTAAATTAATTATATTCCAAACATATAAGGCACACATTTTCCCTCAAAAATCACCTCCAAAATTAATTCTTTTTCTTATACATGATGGTTGGATTTTAGTAGAGATTACTGGTACTAGACTAATATTAAAACATTCTTTCTGGGCACAGTTTTCTCATAATCCCAGAATATATCATTACAAATTAAAATGTTAAAATATTTAAAAAAATGCACGAGTTATAATTACAGTTTTTTCTTAAATATTTTTTTAAAATTATTAGCATAGCAGGAAATATAAATTATTTACAATGAAAGTTATTAAAAAAAATCATACAAAAATAATATCATCAAATGGATAATTTTGGAGTCAAGTCTTAAGGTCAGTTATGATTCTAATTTTTAGTATTAGTAGATTATTCAATATTTGTTCATAAAATAAATATTGTTTTACAATTTTTCAATCAGCTTTTCTATCATTGATAAGGAATGGCCACAGAGTCAGTGCATTAACTATACTACGATATTTTCACTTAATACTTACTACAATTAAATTCATCAGACTGATCTGAACAATCGGGATATCCATTGCATTTTCTCCTTGGATCAATGCACTGTCCATTCCTACATTGGAACTCATTTGGCTGACAATCAGGAGTTGCTAAGTGCCAGGAATAGAAACACAACTTGAAATACCAGAGGCAGGCAAAATAAATCTTGTAAGTAAAATGCAAAAACAGTGTTGTCTGGAAAAATATTAAGTAAAAATAAGAGTGCATATAATGCAGTATTTAAATATATCTAAGAGTTTCTTACATTATCTGTCTATATCTCTGAGATGAGGTATTATGATTAGTTGCATTATTTACATTATTTGGACTGTTATCCTTATCTTCATTACCATATTTACAATGTTTCGGTCATTATATGCTCTGGCCTTCTTCAGTTGAGTGAGACACATGGCCCAGTGGATAAATACATTGGTTAAATCCAGTGACTAGATCCAAATAGTTGTCAGTTCAATATCAGGCCACAGCAGTGGTGAACCAAAACTTGAAGAGTTGAGTTAAAGGGAAATAACTGAGACATCCAGAAGAGGCATGGCATGTAGAACTAGAATAATCTGCCCCAGTGGACAAAATAAAGAGTTTGGTTTGAAATTCCAATCACCAGAAGAAGTCCAGAGCATACAATAACTGAAACGTTGTGAATATGGCAATGAAGATGAGAATAGTCTGAATAAAGTAAATAATGCAAGTTTCTTACATTGTTGATATTTATATTAATTACAATGGGAAAGTGGGAGGATGAAAGCCTTGCTTGCTCTCCAAGTACCTATTTATTATAGGTATTGAATGTATTCGAATTTATAGTCACTATCCTTTCAACATATGGATTCTGCTATCCATAAAAATCTATTTTTTATTATTCTTCTTGGACACAAGAATATACTGGAGCTCTACCTTTTAGGGTTATAAGAATTATAGTAACTTTACATGTTAGAATTTCAACATGTTCATTAATATATTTGTGAAATTTTTAAGCCTTTTAAAGAGGAGCATATGCATTGATTTAAAGAATGTTTTCATACAAATGGGACATTTTCTTTAATTACATTGCCACGAATACATAAAAATCATAATTTCTAAAACAATAATCCATCTAAAGATATTTGGAATTTGGATTATTTTATAGTCACTTTTAAATAATTTTCTAGAAACATATATTTTAAAACTTTTAAAATTGTTTTGAGAGCATGGAAAAAAGTATATAGCTTTATATAATTATGTGCTGAGTTAGAATCAAACATGGATCGGAATCCAAAATAAGATAAAGATCAAATAGGAAATGTTTATCAATCTAATATGTTTCACTTTTATTAAAGCTTCATCAGAGAATGAAACACAGTGAAAAAGAAGAAAGAAATTCTGATATTTTTATTTTCGTGTTATTTGATTTTCATTGGTCAGCCATGTTTCACATGCATCCGACTCTTTAAACCAACATTAGTATAATTTGTGGCATTCTGAATTCAAGAATTTCTTCTTTTTCTCCATATCTCATTCTCTGATGAAGTTTTAATAAAAGTGAAACATGTTAGATTGATAAATGTTTCCTATTTGTTCTTTATCTTATAATTATATAAATATCCTAAAAGACAATGAAGAGGAAAGTGAGGTCATGATAAAAATCCTTTTGTACATTTAAAGGAGTAAAAAAAAAAAAAAAAAATATATCAATTATCAGTTATCCTTATAAAATAGTTTTAACTGAATTCAAATGCTTCAATTAGAAATTTCTGAATTTTTTATAATAAAAACTACTGATGGATACTGTAAAAACTATTGTCAGAGAAAAGTTTAAATAGGTTCTTGTGCCTAAACTTTAAAACTTGTGAGGGATGAAAGAAGTGAAATTTATATATAAAATATAAATAAAATAGTATACAAAATTAATGATGAAGGCAAAACTTGACATACTATTCAATAACCTTAAATTACCTCTGTATTTAAGATTAGGTAAAATTAAACATTCATTTGATTTCATTTTCTACACTAATGAATATTTACTGAAGGCAGGATCAGGAGTACAAATGAGCAAGAGGGACAAAGTGTTCCAGACAACAAAGTTTTTTTTACTGTAAATTTATAAAGATAAAAGCTTCACAATCAAAGAAGCATTGTTATATTATTCACTTCCTTTGGAAAAAAAAAAGAAAAAGAATGTGCATTGCAACATGTTTCAAAAGTTAGGAAATTGGACATGCAGAGAAAGTGGTTATGGAATTAAAGTGTGAAACAAATATCATTTTTGAGGTTAGTGTAAAAGAAACAAAAAAAAAGTATAATATTCATTCCAAAATCTTGTAAAAATATAAAATTGAGATTATATATATATATATATATATATATATATATATATATATATATATATAAAAAACTAAATATACATATCCTCACCGATAACACAACTTGGAGTTTCATGCACAATGCAATCTGAGTATAGACTGGCCATAACAATTTAAATTTTAGAAAATATATCTGGTTATCATAATGTTGGTGTAGAGATATATATATATATATATATATATATATATATATATATATATATATATATATATATATATATTACAGTTTTACACTTTTAAAAATTATATTTGGCATTTAAAATAAATGGGGTTTGTATACATGTCTTAGAAAAAAAAAATGAAAGAATTTTTTAAAGCTGTGAATATTAATTTTTTATTATTATTAATGGAAGATTACTTGTTCCTTATGTGCAAAAAAAACCTTAATATACCTAAAAAATAAACTGTGATTTATATTATAATTTATTTAAGCAGATATTTATTTTTATGCCTACATGTAACTATGAATTCATTTCTTTTGTTCAACAAGACATAAGTTACATTTATTTCCTTTCTTGTTATAAGATTTAGTTCCTGTTATAATATCCCAGTTGATTGATGGTGAGATGCCATCATTCTCTAATTGCCAGGTCAATACTGTGATGACAACATTAACATTTTACCTACAACAACGTTTTTACAGGAATTGAAACACAGAATGTCCTCATTAACCTTTACATCTATATGGAAAGCAAACAAAAATATATACCTACCAAATGACATTTACAACTGCACATATATATTTATAAGAAATGACAGTGTAAAAAAAACTTTTATGTTCCAACTACTCTGGTCCATATCAAGTTATTAACAGAAAGGACAAGTATTTTACTATCTTGACAAATGGAAAACATGGAAATACTGCTATCGATTGAATTAAACCGGCTTATTTTCAAAACAAAAAGAAAAACATGAGCATCCAGATTCAAATATCACTCGAAAGACAAATGAACAAACATTCAGCAAAGCAAATGACACCCCCACCAGAAACAATAATATGGAAGGATGTTACAAGATCTGGGAGACATGTGCATTGGCCAAGACATTACAAAACATACCTAAGATATTAAATTAATGTTTCTAATCATTTGGAGGGGGGCCTTTGTTGTGTCCACTAAAATATCAATTAAAATATTTATAAACCAATAGCACTCAAAATACTTACATCTTAAAACACACCAATAAAACCATAGAATACAAATCTGAAAGGTTTTTTATTAGTTATCATGATTTATGTTGATACCACCAAAATATGCAGATACAGTAAAATACATATCACATGGATTTTTAGGGCCAATTAGGAAGAAATATATATAATTTTGGAGATGATTTTCTTGCAAAAAAAGTGTATAAAAATTATGAAGTCCAATCCCCCAAAAAGGAGATGCACAGATGTTACCAAGGTGCATGTCACTCTAGCTGCTTATCTTTAAAACCCCATTCACGTCCACATGCAAAAAGCAACAGTACTGACAAATTACAAAGAGACTGCCTCAGATTACGGAACCACAGTTCACAGAAAGAACTAAATTCTAACTATCTCTTGTATCCCATTAACAAACAAAGACATTGCTCATTCAATACATTCAACCAACTCCTTGTATTCTCCTTTTATATTAAATTAATGTTTATTTGTTGATACAACAGTGTCTTTATCAACTGGATTTTATTCTTTTAATTCATGGGATTATTCTAAATGGCCAAATTACGAGTAGTCCCATAACAATATTTTATGTTATTGTATCAAATGCCAACACTCTGAATTTTGACATTTAACAAGAACCCAAGTAAAAGGCTTCCTACAATAGTAATGAAATTTTATTATAGAAATGAAAATAAATCTTGATAAGGATACAAACAACAGTCAACAAAATTGATATAAGAAATATTGAATTAGATAACCTAAGGTTAGATTTAATTTTAAAATAAGAGGAAAAAAATGTTTTTAAAACTGTAGTAACCAATTAAATTGTAGAAAATAGAGAAAATGCCTACAGAAGCAATATCAGTCAATAAAACTACAATTACCCAGCCATGCAAAAAAAAAAAAAAAAAAAAATGATAGCCCAAAGATAGGATAATCAACAGAATTAATTTAGAAATTATATTAGCTAACAGTAGTCAATGAATTTGTATGATAAATAAGATATTGTATGATTATCTGCCCTTGGCAGTTTAAGGCTAGCCAATCAGCTCACAGCTGCTTGGTGCACTTTTCTACCTTTTTTGAATAACTCTTTACTCTTGGTACCACCCTTCAGAATGACCACATGCTGAATTGGTCATCTCTACACCTTTATCACTACAGAGTCTGTAGATGGTGAGAATATCAACTCACCCTCAGCAGATAAGTTTGGTTGCAGACACAATTAACTTTGCAAAATATAGGGGAATTGGAGTGGGCCCCATATAAGATTCCCACATGATATATGCAGACGTAGTAATAATAAAAGAATAGAACACAGACTTATATACAAATTATATTAATGAACATTACAATTGAGTCTTTGCAAACTTAATGGTGTTTGCACCTATGATTATCTGCTGAGGGTGAGTTGATATTCTAGCCATCTATGGATTCTGAGGTGATAAGGATGTAGAGATGACCTGTCAGCATGTGGGCAATATAAAAGTTGGTATCAAGAGTAAAGAGTTATTCAAAAAAGGTAGAAAAGTGCACCAAGCAGGAGCTGTGAGCTGATTGGCTAACTTTTTAACTGTCAAGGGCAGATAATCATACAATATCTTATTTTGCAGCAAAGCAACAAATAAATAATATAAATAATACAAATAAGCAACTAATAAAATTTATGCAAGAAATAAAATGGGTTGCAGAATTGTTCCTAAAACTTACAGAAAACTTTTTTTTTTCATAAAAGTCAGCAAAAGTTATGTTACATTACTTACAACAATCTAACTCATCTGAGCGATCTGCACAATCAATATTTCTATCACATTTTCTTCGCAAGTCTATACATTGTCCATTGTTGCACTGGAACTGATGAGCCTGGCATTTGCTTTTGGCTGTTATTGGATGGGAAACAAAAGAACAAAATACAGAAGTGCAATTTCATGCAGTGATTGGTGCAAAGTGGAAGGATTTACAGCTTTTAAATGTGAAGTTGCAATTGGAATCTTTCTAAATTTGAAAGTGAATGTTAAAAAAAAAAATACATGCTTAGAAAACAGTGTTACATGTTAAAAATAAAGATTTTTATTTGAACCTGTCCTTTTTTAAAATTTTATATTCAAGTGGTAGAGCTTATAGATTTTGTCTATTTTTTTCTGATAGCATTAAATGTGTTTTGTAAAAAATATCAATTATAGACTAAGATTTTAAGTTAGAAAATAATACATACAAGCAGAATGGGTAAGTATATCAACTATAGAATAGGAGTAGATAGGTTTGCCTATTTTCTGGTCTATACTTCTTCCCAGTCTTTTGAACAGGAGTAGAGGTTTGTCCCTTGTTTCATATTTAGGATTGGGTTTCTAGTTCTTTCTAAAGTCTAATTCAACTATATACTAACATTTCCACATAAAACTCTGAAATTTTATTTACTATTTTTTTTCTCTCAATAGGAGTAGTTTTGCTTATCACCTGGTTCACACTCCTCCCCAGTCTTTTGAACAGGAGGAGAGGTCTTGTTTCCTGTTTAGGATTGGGTTTCTGATTCATTATAGTCTTTTCATTCTCCTTCACTTACAGTAGCCTCTTGCATCTTAGTCACATTATCACCTTGCTTTGAGGAGGGGATTGATTAAAGAAAAAAAAAATTGTGATTGGTTCTAAAATGTCATATGATCCTATATTGCGCATGACACCTGTTTGGCCTGCTTTGTATATTAAATCATATATAATGAGAGGTGTGACATTTCCTATATGTTTATTTGTCCATAACCTCTTAAAGCAAAAATATATAAAAATGAACAAATGAATCCTGCCCTGATATGAACATCTAATCAGGAGGAAAGGTGATAAGTAACATATTCATTAAATCAGTGTTCTGCTGCTTGAACAGAATGGCAAAATTAACTTGCCAATATAAAATAAGTCAGAGTATATAGATACTACATCAGACCAGGGAGAAACTCTCTAATCCTAAGCAGAGTGCACACATACTACACTGATCTTAAGCATTGGAGCTGGGGAGAAACACTTTGATCCTAGAAAGAATGTACAGATATTGCACTTATCCTATGATCACAATCATCAAGGAAAGTTCCATCTACAGTGGGTGGCAATGTTTTCCATGTACATGACACTGAAAATCACAGGATGTCAAATGTCCACAGTTTCAGAAATGGAATATCCTATCCATCTGGCATCCACTATTATGTCCTATTTGAAGTTTGATATTTAAATGTCCTTACCATGAGCAGCCTAGTTAGTGTTAACACTGACTCACCAGATGTCAGAGTACAACTGGTATATGGATGCACATTTCTGTGAGGATGGTGTGGTGGCACCACCTTTGCACACTGCTTCCCAATGACTTTTTGCATGTCAGTGTATTAACGCTGTATACAAGTGTTCTCTGGAGTAGAATGATGATTAGGAAGGTAATCTTGTTAAACAATTTGTTAGTATAGTGTGCTCAATCTTCAATGGGTACATGTGTCTGTACTAAGCTAAAATTAGTAAATATCATTTTCACAATCTCATTTTTATAAGAATTTAAATTAGTGTTTCTGTTACTTTCAATAATACTTTCATGAAAATAATGAAAGTACTTAAAAAAAACATTTGTAATTTTTCTCCATTGGCAATAGAGAATGGTTTCTAATTTTTACTCTGCACAGGAGGTTACAAAAACAAGTAGACAGGACTTTAAAAAAAATTGTCCAAAATCTTGTGTAGGAGCTATTAACAAGATGTATGGGTAGTATAAAGGATATTAGTGCAGAAAGTGGAATGAATTCTGGATTAGTCTGTAGCATTCATTTTCACACAAATGCCCTTGGGAAAGGCATGAGTTCATCTCTTCTCCCCATACCAGCTTTGAGTTATTTAGGAGAGCAAACTGGGTTCTTTAGCCTTGAGTGGCAACAAGTCTAGGAGAAGGACAAGAGTAAATTCAAAAAGAGGGGTGGGTTTCCTAGACACACCCACTGGCTGCTATAGGTGAAGTAAATGTAGCGCAGCTATGGGACTCATGAACAACAGTTGTGAGAGTAGACTTTCCTCAAGGATGTTATTTTGTACCAACACCTTTGGGAAAGACTGGAGTTTAACAATTCCTCAAATACAGTAATATTTTGTAATGTATAAAAAGAAGATAATAACTGTTGAAAGATACCCATATATACTCATGTATAAGCCAACTTCATCTATAGTGAGACCCCTGAACCGTTGACTTAAATTTTAACCAATCCAGAAAAAATTACCTGTGTATAATGCAACTGGTAAATGTTTGTTTGGTCAGAATATAAACACCAAAATTTCAAGAAAGAGATAAGTTAGTTAATTTGAAGGATGAACAGAAGCGGGTGGGGTACTATGATAAATCTAAGAATTGTACTTAAGATTTTCTATCATATGAGGTATGTGCAAAAATTCTCAGCACCCACTTTTTTTTTGAAAACTAGGAAGTAAATACACAAGAGAAAACTGATTTTTTTAAAAATTTATAAATGAAGGAGGAGGGGATGTTGAAAAGTTTTGCACAAAGCTCATACTTCCAAAACTTGATTTCATGTATAAGCTGACTTTATATATATTGCAACTCCTGAATTTTTTGGCATGAATTTTAACCCAACTACAGAAAAATTTTGCCTGTATATAGTGCAATCAGTCACCTACCCACCACCCAAAATGCCCGATAGTTAATCATATCAAAAAATGACATGTATATAGTGCAACCCCACTATTTTTTTGTGTAAAAGAAACTGATCATAAAAACTTGCACTATATACGAGTATATTTCATGAATGCATGTGCTTTTTTTGTTTTGTTTTTTTCATGTTTAAAAAAATTACAAGAAAAAAAATTAAGTTAGTATTTTCTTGTTCAACTTGTATACAATATGGAATAAATGAATTATAAATTAACATGCACATTGATAGAAAATTAAATGGGGTCACAATGATTTAAAACATGCAATATGTTTTGAGTGGGTGGTGCAGTGTTATCAGAAATTTGTTATTATATTAATTAATATATTTTAACAAAAAGAAATTTAATTAATTAAAATGTATAGCAGAATTACAAAAACACACAGCAGGATGATGACAAGAGACGGAAAAAAAAAACATTTATAGAAACAAACATCAAACTTCAACTGAAACAAAATATTTTATTAGTATTTGGTTGTTCAGATCTGTGACCATCCGCTGACCTATCAGAGTAAATTTGCTTAATATCTATAAAGTAAAACTGACAATTTTAAGTGAGAAATGTGAAGTTATATAAAAATACTTACGACAGTCTTCCTCATCTGAACCATCCTGACATTCTCGTCTTCTATTGCACACACCCTGTTCATTTATACACTGGCCATTTCTGCACCTGAATTGCCCTGTAGTACATTCTACAGAAAACACAAAGAAAGAATGTCAAAGAATTAATACTAACATTAAAAGAAAATGGAAATGGTTGTCGGCTTCGAGATTTTATACCACTGTCTTTAAAAAAAAAAAAAAAAAAGATTAAAAAGGCAAAGTAATCATAAACTACAAAAGCTAGGTTTTATAAATATATTAGTACAATTGTTATTTAATGCACGCTACCTAGGATCAATGTAATATCTGTATACTCTGAGAAAATTGTTATATACACAGAAATATATCTATATGGGTACACATTAAATTTTTTTATATACAACACACATTGTATACCCAAAGAGGGATGTGTTAGATAATTGTCATTAAACAAACAAATCAAATGTGTTAGATGAATTGCTGAAAATGGTATTGTCAGTGCGACTTGCATTATTTGGAATGAGTAGAGCCAGTTATTCTTTGACTTTATCCACTGTGCCATGTGTCCTCAGTGTATAAAAGAGCGTTGGTTAAACTGATCCAGTGACAGGACCCAAAAAGAGTGTGAGTTCAATACCTGGTTATTGTAGTAGGCAGTGGAGAACTTTCATAGGGAAATTAACAGGAGATAACTGATAACTGACATCAATCAAACATGGCACGATACAAAGTCTGAACTAGAACAGTCTAGGACCCCAGCGCCATATTTATTACAAGTTTCGAAATAAAGGGTTCAGTTTCAACATTCCATCTGAGAAAGTTCTCCACTGCCTTCTTCACACTCTTTTGGGGTTGGAATGTTGTATAACCACCTGAAGAAGGCTGGAGTGTACAACAGCCAAAACGTTGTGATAAATATCAGGTTACTGATACAAGTCCTAATAATTAACCCACAGCTGGGGAGAGAAGAGTTGGATTCAAACCTCTCCCAAAGGATTTGCACATAAGTGAGTATAACAAACCTGACTGGAATTTGAACTAGGTTCTCCAATTTCTAAGTTCAAGCTGTTATCCATTACACTAGTCACACATCCAATCTTACAGCACCTGGTGTTCCCAAGCAATCTAGGTACTGACCAGGCTTGACGTTGCTTGACTTTGGTGTCATATGAGAACCGGTGTTTCAATGTGATATGGTCATAAGCCCAAAAATGGGAATAAATATGAAGTTACAAGAGATTCCTGTGGGCCCTTCACATTTGTAGCCTTGTCCCAAACTTGGCTCAGTTTAGTAAATATCCACAATAAATCTGCTTCTGAAGGTCGTTAATGAATTGTGCAAGGGAGAGAATTCATGCATATTATAAATAAAAAATACAATGTATCTTGTTAATTTAATTACTACTTTTGTTAAGTGATAATTTAGTTAATAACAAGAGGGAAACAGATCACTTAATTTCCAATATATTACAAAAGACAACAAATGTATAAGATATTGTAAGTTGTTTATAAAATAAGATTGTAAGAATTTTTTTAAAATCATAAAATATTAAAAGTGAAATACAAAAAAATCATTAGTAATCCATACACATACAGAATTAGTACATGCAACATGCAGTTATTGGGATTTAATTGTTACAAAATCAGAAAGTACTAAATAAAAGTCTGATAGATGTAAGTTTTTGTTTTTAATGGTTTTCAGATTTGGTATCATGAGGTTGAATGACTTATATCAACTCCGTAATAGATTTAGTGAAATTTAAAATGAGTATAAATTGAATGATATTCATAGAGCTTGTTATGCATAAATATAAAATAAGACACAGTGAGTGTTTGTGGTAATAAAACAGTGCTCAATATATAAAATAACAGAGCTAAAATTTCTACTAATAATAAATATGCATTTTGTTCCTCACCAATTGGTACAACTCATTCTCTCTCTGCATATAAATATATTAATACTATTAATACAATATCAAAATCTGCTACTCAGAGTTTCATTTAATAACAATCATCAGGTGGCTATAATAATAAGATATATATATATCTGCTTTATAGGGTACCTTGAGGCAGTGTAATGGTTAGCAAGCTTGTCTCACTAGAACAATTATGACTGAATAGTGAGTTCAATCCTCACTGGGTACCCTATACTTTCGACCTTGTGTCACATCTAAACTATGCTCAGGGAACAAAAAAAAAAAGTCACTATCTATCTGCCTAATGATTATTATTACATGAAACTGAGTGGTGGATTTTGATACGATTGTATTAATATTATTAAATTTAGGGTCTGTCAACTTTGGCTTTGAGCCCTTGATTTATTTTATATTTTAAGCTTTAGCTTTTACTATTTGTATGTGTGTATGTTTATATTATATATACACACATTGAAGAGGAAAATCAAGTGAACAATAATGCAATTTTTTTTTGTTTTTTCAATATATATATATATATATATATATATATGTGTGTGTGTGTGTGCAACAATGTAAAAGAGTTCTTAGCCTCAGAATATTTCATTACAACTCTATCAACACAAAATGGTGCAAACTGTAGAAAAATTAAATTAAATAACTTAAAGAATTTTCATTTGCCTTCAAGCAAACATATATATATATATATATATATATATATATATAATAAGGTGGTGGGTGAAGAGTTTTCAGTCATTCACTTCCAAAAATCTAATCAAATGACCAAACATTCTTTTACTTTTGGGGTGGGGGAGCTGCAAAGGGAAGATAGGAAACAGAAAGGAACATGCTAATATGATATTTACACTTATGATAAATGTAAATGTTGGCATTCAGTCTAGGGATCAAATCAGAGAAACAGTTGATTCTGGTTCACTAACTACATTTGAAAGGTTGTTTGGTACAAACAATGAGACATTATGCTTTGAATCACTGTTTAGGATGGAATAACAAGCATAGTCATTCTGTATTCTACAAAAAGAGATCAAGCATGTTGTAATATTGGGTTCAACAGTAAAGATCAAGTCCAGATATCAAACAGTGTTCATTCTATCTGGTTTTGTTCATGTAAAGCATAAATATTTTGATGGCAAAGTAACTACCTGATTTATTTAACAGCAAAATGGAATTAAATAAAAACAATGGAAAGTGTAATTAGAATCCTGTCTATAATTATGTGAGAAAGACATTTTTAATTAGTTGACTATGTGACTGATATATTTTTGCATTAACATTTTATCTAAGAGTAGTGGTAGTCTAATTTAAATATGCAAAGAGTGGAGATGCTAAATAGTCTCCCTTTAGACAAGAACATGGAAGCTGTTCATATTCAGTTTGTGTGACTACATATCAAACACTGTGCTATATGATTTACAACATACTATTTAAGACAAAAAAAAATGCAAATAAATTTTCTGTAACAAGCCTGTATTATAGCTATTAAAGTTACACAAAGAAAATTAAACTTAATCAAGGGGAACGTAACTGTCACAATAAAAATGATTTGATGATCAATTCTTGTCACAATGAATCTGGTTTTGCTTCTACAGGTCAACTCTTATTGGATTATTTAATGCTGAATTCTGTACATAACACCAAGTCAGTATCAAACTCACTATATAGTAATGGTCAACCAGAGTAAATTTTCTAAACATTACCCATGTCAAGGTGCTTTGTAATAATTATTCTTATAAAAATCATTTTATCTATTTATGATGAAATGTGATTTGCACATTCTCAAACAAGTCTGGAGTTTTTATGTAGGTTTTCCTCATTAAAGATTAATTCACCTGACAATTTCAATAGGCTTATAGTTATATTTGCAGAAAATAAATTTATTTTAAAGAAAATGAGTTTGTATAAAAACTACTAACTTAGTATTGATGCAATGGAATAACCTGTCACCCCCATGAGTAACTACACTATAGGTAGTAACTACATATAAGTATCTGTAAGTCAACAGACTACAGAGTTTAGCTGCGATCTGTTCCAGCTAAACAGTTGAACTCTCTACCTTCGGGCAGAGAGGAACCCAGACAAGGCTCCATCGAAAATTATATGATAATAAGTCATATAAACACTCTAAACTTGGCATTCTGACAGTAGTGCTGTCATATTTTGTGGGATTGACATCAGGTGAAGAGAGATCTGAATTTGACTCTTCATGATTGACTTATATGTCAGTATATATGTCTGTCTAAACACTCCTACCTGTTTAGACACACAGGCTATTAATATCTCTGCACAGATTAATTTACCATAAATGTCATTTTTAGTAACCTTTAAAAGTTTTTTTTATTTGAGATTTAAATATGTTCTAATGATAAATTTTTCAAAAATCTTAAATAAAATGTTACTATAATTTACAGATGGGAGAAAAAAAATCCTAGTTTAATGAAATATAAATTTGATAACCAAAATAAAATTAACTCGATATCTAGGAAAATGCAGTAATCAATTCAGCAACATGATATGATCAAAGGGGGTTATGGCAGGCATGATCGAAGGATATGTCTCTCACATACAGCAACATGGCATAATTAACGAAAGACATGATCAAGTGCATGTTATGAATCATTTGGCCAGCTAAGTATGCTTTATATGCTGATATAGATTTGGCTAGGGTATAGATATATAAATCAGCAAGTATGTATTCATTACATCATTTAATTTCAGGACTTTCTTCCCTAACTTTTTGTGTAGTTAGAGATCTTCAAACAACTTGAAACAAGGTATTTCATCTCTTGTTTACCTTTCTTCATTATACATCTAACTAAAGTGAGTGTTCTCAACTGCAGAACAGAGAATAGTAATTATTTTTGTTACTACAATGAAATAGAGAATCATAACTTGCATATACAGGGTGTATCAAAAGTAACACCCTTTTTTCAATTATTAACTTTTATTGAAAAAAACCCAAAAAACAAACAGTAGCTTAAGATGGCTAAAGGTTAACTATGGCTTATGTGTTTTGGAATGGTTAAATCTTAATTTCAAGCTGAAGTGGATAGGGTGACATGGAGCAATTGAGTAGCCATCACAACCACCAGACTTTTTTCTTGTGAAGTGCACTGAAAGATCTTGTTTACAGGCTCAAACTAAAAACAATTCATGAATTAGAACAAGCAATCTGAATT